TGAAACTAGCTATCCAGAAAAGCTCATCTTCTTACTACAGAGATTCAATCCAAACTGACTACTGAATTTGTCTAATTAAATTTCGAGCAAAACAGAAAATGCACAGTATTATGTTAAAAAGGAAAATCCTTTCCTCCACATTCATTTTACTCATTTCCAAACACAGACAGAAAGCCAAAACACAAGTGCGGCATTTCAACCTTTCTGCCTGGCATCCATAGGCTAATTTGACATCAACAGAAGACTGTGACATTTTATGTAAAAAAATTGGATGTTTTTATATAGTTTGGTTTGTAAGGATTAGTTATGTTTTACGAGTTGATCACGGACTGATATCAGTTAGAGAACCATTGAAAACCAGGGAGTACTGGACAGCTGCTGTTTCATCCTGGTTTGGGAATCATCGGCAGTACGCACCTACTGGGATTCGAACCCAGGACCTTCCGGTTACAAGGCAAGCTCGTATACCATTCAGCCACTGGGACCCGATTCAATGGCTCATGAATTCTAACTTCTACCAATTCGTGATTTTAGCGCGACCCCAACTATTGTCGTTGGTGGGACATCCATCCACACACGTGACTTCTAATTGGACCTCACTGGTCACGACTTCTCACTAGAACTCCAGGAAGCTCCAACCTGTAGCAAGTCACTAGCGAGCATCAGAATAATTTTATATAGTTTGGTTTGTAAGGATTAGTTATGTTTTACGAGTTGATCACGGACTGATATCACGAATTGGTAGAAGTTAGAATTCATGAGCCATTGAATCGGGTCCCAGTGGCTGAATGGTATACGAGCTTGCCTTGTAACCGGAAGGTCCTGGGTTCGAATCCCAGTAGGTGCGTACTGCCGATGATTCCCAAACCAGGATGAAACAGCAGCTGTCCAGTACTCCCTGGTTTTCAATGGTTCTCTAACTGATATCAGTCCGTGATCAACTCGTAAAAAATTGGATGTACAAAATCTCTATAGGTATAACTCAGTAGTCCTTCATTACTATGTAAAATCAAATAGATAATAATTGGATATACGCAGACTTATGTATATAAATGCCACTGTACAGCTTTTGAGACTGAAATCATAGAAAAAATATCTTCACTGAATTTCCTGTTCTTTTCCCTCTAGTGTCCCGAATAGTATTTTCCACGAACCTAGTATTTGTGCATTATTTCACCTCGATGTTTTATACTACTTCTAAGTAATACGGTAGAACCTGGAAGAAG